ATTATAGGAGTTACATTTTTAAATCTTCACTTAGTGAAGATATTTAAATACAACTTAAATAATAAAGATCATAAATAGAATAAATCACGAGTAAATGTTTTCATTATTTAATTTTTTGGAACTTTTTAGATTTACGATACTAATATGCGTGCGTACATGTGGGGTAGGCGAGCTAACATAATAATGTAATCTAATCAACTGTCCATGGTTTTCATTCATTCATTCATGTTGTGTTTATTATTGATCTTTTGCCTTTATTATCTTTTAAAAATCATTTTTATATTTCATAAAGCATAAAAATACTTAGGCAAAATACTTTGTTAAGGCTACATAGACTATAATATGCATATACAGGGTGGCCCACCACTCACTGACAACTTAAATAACTTTTGATCCAGTAAATATTTTTAGCTGATTTTTTTTTTAAATATTAGTTAGACGTTAGGTCTATAGCTATATCTCAATAATTAAATTTTTTACATTATATTAAAAATATTAATTATTTTAAAATTTTAAATAAAAAGTAAAAAAAAAATCTAAGATAGCTATTTTGTAGAGTAGAATTTAAGAAAAATTTTAGTAATAAAATATCTTATTAATATTCAGTAGTAAATATTCTGTAGCGTTTTGAAGTTTGTAAGAATTTGAATTTTCATGTACTATTTTACGGTTATAAACATTGAAATACGTATTGAGAAAAGGACAGAAGAAAACGCTATCTTTTCATGATTACTGTGTATACATATGATGATAGTGTGTATACATTACAAACTTGGCATAAATACCATGATAAGAAATTAGATAAGGCAATTATTACTTATCACTCTCATTCAAAAGTATATTGAAAAGATAGCGTTTTCTTCTGTCCTTTTCTCAATACGTATTTCAATGTTTAATACCGTAAAATAGTACATGAAAATTCAAATTTTCACAAACTTCAAAACGCTACAGAATATTTACTACTGAATATTAATAAGATATTTTTTTACTAAAATTTTTCTTAAATTCTACTCTACAAAATAGCTATCTTAGATTTTTTTTTTACATTTTATTTAAAATTTAAAAATAATTAATATTTTTAATAAAATGTAAAAAAATTAATTATTGAGATATAGCTATAGACCTAACGTATAACTATTATTTAAAAAAAAAATCAACTAAAAATATTAACTGGATCAAAAGTTATTTAAGTTGTCAGTGAGTGGTGGGCCACCCTGTATAAAACATCAAATCTTCCAGGAACAATAATAATAAAGTAACACAATTCCATATAAATAACTTCCAATATAAATGTTATGCAGTATGTTCCATAAGTAAGAAAATAGGTCAATTGTTACAATGAAAATAATAGAAACCCATTTCCTTACTTACTGAACACTTTATAATAATCAAAAATTAACCTCACATCTAATGATACAATGTGAATCATGATTTATTGACTAATGAAATTTTATAGGTACATAATGTTAAAAAAGTATGGATAGGTGTATACTTTAGACTTATCTAAACACATTAATATAGATAAATGAATCGGACTTAATGCGGGCTTAGGAGGCTCGCAATAAAATTGAGATTTTTTTTTTCGCTGGATAACTAAGGAAATCGATTCAGTGGTCATTAAGGAAAATTACTTCCGGGACTTTCAAGGTTCCAGATGGATACTGTCCCCTAATCGAGATCGATTAAATATCGCCAAAGCTGAAAGTCATTGAAACGATAATCATCTTAAAACAAAAACAACACACGAAAACATTGTCAAAAAAATATTTTACATTTTAATTTCTTACTTATTATATAGATAGTAAATATTCAAATAAAAATTTATGTATAAATTTAAAAAAATGTCGATATATTAGAGTTTTTACCAAGTTTTATTTTTTATTAAATGTCATAGTAAAATACATCATGGTTATGGAGGCCTGTGGTATCAAATAACTAGTGAAAAAAATAGCAGCACCCACTCTGCCTCTAGTTTTTACTTTAAATTCTTAATAACAGAGGGCTGCTCTGTTTGTGTCCACAATAATGGTCGTTCATTTAATCTTTCATTTAAAAATGATTAACACTTTTATTTATAAATTATATTCATAAGCTTAGAATAACATGATTGTTTTTTCTTTGAGAAAATTCATAAATTATACTTGCCAGCTCTTTTAAATCTTATCTTAATAATAAAACACAATACGTAAACCCTAAACTTACATATAAAAACTAACTATAATAATATTATATGAAGCGCTGAAATGATTTGTGTATTATTCGCATGTATTAATTTATATATTTAATGTATTAATTCATATATTTTATGCTATTTTGTACATTAATTTATATATTTTATGATTATTTGTCAATAAAATAATAACATTGCGAAAATGACTCAATGATGATTGTTCAGGGATAAAAAAATACTATAAAAGTGTTGAGTGCTGAGGACTTGAGAGGGTCTGTCTCTAAATATTCATTGAGCTGTTTGAATCGCGTTCTCGACATCGATACGTAAAGTTCGTAATCATCATTGTCGAAATTCTTACGTGTTAATTTATGAACTAAACATTTGAGTTCGGATTATTTTGTTATTACCTGATATTGTTAAAAGTTATTAGAAAAACAAAAGAAAAATCTTCAGGTAAGGCTTCAAATCAACAAGAGTCAATACTTATATTATTTTATAACTCAATTATTTAGAATTAATAATCTGAGTATAGAACGATAAAGCAATAGATAAAATAATTATATTAATCTTTAAACTTCAATTAATTATTATTAACTAGTTCGGACCTTATACATAATCACATTACATGGTATTCGTGAGATGGCTACCGCCTCTTCGTTGCCTCAGTGTATTATTACAGATACTTACTAGTTGGATCATTTATAATATCTCTATAAGAGGAACCTTAATTATTTCTTTTTATATCTACTTGTCTTTATTGTTTTAAACCCTCGGACTCTACAACCCCGATAGAACCTCGTTGCTCACCAATTGACTAAATCCCCAAATTTCCAACCTTGGTCAAAAATACCCGACCAACCCTAACACATCACCATTTTTGCTTATTTTTGAATTATTACAATTACAATCAAACATTTTTTTCATTAATATTAGTTTATATTTTATAGTTTTTATTATCAATTTACATACTTCAATAACATTGTATTTATTTGTTTTTTAGTTAATAGAAAACGTAACAGGATTAAGTCCGGGTGGTTGAAGTGGAGAGAAGCGTCTGGCGTCTTATGCGATAAAAGAATTCCAATGAGGCTGAGAGGTAAATTCTACAAGACTGTAGCGAGGCCAGCTATGATTTATGGTTTAAAGTGTTTAGGATAAGAGTGGCCGACCCCAAGTAGTTGGGATTAAGGCGAGAAAGAAGAAGAGTTAATAGAAATCTAGGGTTTGAGCATAAGTATTTTTTTAAAGTTTCAAAAGTATTTTGATACAAATCCGATCTTTCATATTTGATACCTTTCTTTAACAAAATTTTTAATATTTTAGCTATTTTACTATAATTAGGAATACAATTTTGACAATATCAATGTTAAACCTAAATATACTTAATTTTCTTTAACATTATTTGTAACCAGATAATTCCTCATACTTTCAATTTTTATTTCATCAGGATTCACTCTGGACACTAAAACCTGATGACCTAAATAAATATTTTTCCTTATATCTTTTTTCCTTAAAAATTCACACTTAACAGGTTGCAATTTTAAGTTGTGCAACCACCACAATCTATTAAATACGCCTCTTAACTTTTTATTATGGTCCTATAAATTCACTGGAAATACAAATACGGCATCAAGGTAAACTAAACAATTTATACCTGTTAAATTACATAGAACGTTATTCATTAGCCTCTGAAAAGTTGCAAGACTATTTTTTAAACTCATGGGCAACTATCAATGATTAAAGCGGGAAAAACTAAAAGGGGAGACTATAGTTCCTAAAAAATGAGGAGTGTTCCCGAGCTACACCGAATTTTCTTCCGTCAAAGGCTAAAAGTGTTATTGATCATAATAAACAGATATAGTTACTTAAAAATAAAAATAAATTATCTCAAAAAAGTAAAAGATTAGTACCAACTTATAATGTTTGGTTATTTCATAAAAAATTAATTAGAAATTAAAATTATACGAAATATCACAAGTCGGTATTATAATTTTAATTTATTATGAGAATAAATACAAAATAGTCCTTTTTAAATTGTAAATATTATACTATAACACAAACAAGTTGAGAAAAAAATACTAACAGTAACCAATTTAAGTAGGTATCTACCATATAAAAAAATGAAATGACAAATATTGTAATATAATTTATAAAGTATTTAATAAACTATCTACTAGATATCAACAATCGTGATAGGTTCTGTTAATATAACAATTTTGAAAATTTGACCATTCGAATAAATTTTTATATTAACGCTTTCCACTCTTCAGTGCTTAAAATTAAATCATCCTCTCGGCAATTTGGGTTTTGACTTAAATGAGACACTAGATTGAACTCATTTTAACTACTGGCAATTTTGTATATTGTTAATGCTCATCTTCACCGAGCCACTGCTATTTAAATATTAATAATTTGACGCAGATTAAATTGTCCAACTATTTGGTATTTATAAGATTTATACTTATGATATATTCATACTTTAGAATTGATATGGATATTAATATGTGACATTATTTTTACTCTTAAGATGGTTAAACTAACCTTGCTATTTTTAGTGTGACAAGTCAAAAAGTGTTATTCCAAAAATAACAATATTGAGTTAGATATCAAAATAGTCCAAAATTCTATAACATACAGAACATATAGATTATTACTCTGTTCTATAATTGCATCAGAATAAAAGAATTTGATACACATTTGGAATATACAAAAATTCATTGATCTAATTGGCAATAATTATTTTGTCAATTAAATTTATCCTGAATATTCTAACATTTCATTATCAAGTAATTTGTTATCACATTTTAAACGGTCCAACACCGTAAGTATACAAATAATTCCACTAAGTTATATATCAATATGACTGTTACCATTTATTTTATTGTTAATTAACAATGAAATGATGGTTATAGTCGTGCTTGAAGAACAGTTAGTTCTTAATCAAATACATTGTTATTTCCCCATATTTGTGTAATATATCTAAACTTAAGATTGTTCACATTAACAGCAGTTTCAAATTAGTATTAATTTCGCTTTTTCCCTAAACATTAAAAAAATTTAATTTTTAATTTATTATTCTTAACTCAAATGCTAGCATCTATACACCATCTAAGAAAAATAAAACCTAGTTTAATACTAAGAATATTTTGTGAAGTATTGTAAAAAATGTAAGTACATTGCTATAATTTTTATGCAATTAATTAAGAATTATAACAATTTCGAAAAAATAAATTAGTAATATATCAATATATATAGTGAAGTATTGTAAAAAATGTAAGTACATTGCTATAATTTTTATGCAATTAATTAAGAATTATAACAATTTCGAAAAAATAAATTAGTAATATATCAATATATATAGTGAAGTATTGTAAAAAATGTAAGTACATTGCTATAATTTTTATGCAATTAATTAAGAATTATAACAATTTCGAAAAAATAAATTAGTAATATATCAATATATATAGNGCATCTATACACCATCTAAGAAAAATAAAACCTAGTTTAATACTAAGAATATTTTGTGAAGTATTGTAAAAAATGTAAGTACTTTGCTATAATTTTTATGCAATTAATTAAGAATTATAACAATTTCGAAAAAATAAATTAGTAATATATCAATATATTTTATAATTTAGTGTGGGTATTTTTAAAAACACATACAAAGGAAAACCCGAGGTAGGTGAAATGAGGAATTCAGTGACAATAGGCGATGACATAGTNTAAGTACATTGCTATAATTTTTATGCAATTAATTAAGAATTATAACAATTTCGAAAAAATAAATTAGTAATATATCAATATAATATAGTGTGGGTATTTTTAAATACACATACAAAGGAAAACCCGAGGTAGGTGAAATGAGGAATTCAGTGACAATAGGCGATGACATAATAGGAGAGGTAGATGGTTATAATTATTTAGGATCAGTTGTGCAAAATAGCGATGGTGTTGACGAGGATGTAAGACACATGATTAAGTACAGGTGGATAATGAGGAAAGAAGTGTCTGGAGTGTTATGAAATAAGAGAATTTTAGTGAGGCTGAAAGGTAAATTCTTTAAGACTGTAGTGAGACCAGCTTTTATGTATGGTTCAAAGTGTTGGGCGGTTGACAAGAGAAAAGAGCAGAGGATATGTGTAGCATAGATGGATGAGTGGCATGATTAAAGAATATAGAATAAAGAATGAATATATAATAGGGAGTATTGGTATAGCGTTAATTGTAGATAAGATGATAGAAAATAGACTTAGATGGTTTGGTCATATTATGAGAAAAGAGGAATCGGAAGCTATAAAAACAGTTATGGAAATTAATTTTGAAGGAAAAAAAGATAGAGAAAGACCAAAAAATAGATGGTGGGATGTTATTGAATAAGATGTGTGGATGACTGAGTGTACATAGATTATGTGGAAGATCGTCTTAAGTGGAAGTTTAGCATAAGAGCCCAAGTAGTTAAGATTAAGGTGAGGAAAAAGAAGAAAAATATAATTTAAGTTGTAATCATAAAATATTTTTTAAAAATCAAGAAAGTATACATGCCAATACCAACGTAGGAAGTGTTTTTGAAGAATTTGGAAAGTTAATAGCTGTGGAAATCACTTTCAAAACCTTAATGTAACATAAACAATTTTAAAGTCGCTTTAAAACTATAAGAAGACTTAATTAAAACATAATTTTTTACTAAGAATTAAAATCAAAACTTACATTATTATAGATACTAAGAACATGCAAAGTCAAGAAAGTACTCCAGATACATCATCTTCATTAATAAATACAAATTTGGACTCTTCCAGAGAAACAGTAGATTTGAGTATTTATTATTTAGATCTAATAGAATGTCCATTAGATCCTGTTCATAAAGTTCGAAGACATCGGTTACCTAATCATTTATTAAAGTGTAGAAAAAACTTCCCTACCAAACAAAAATGTCCATTTGGACATTTTTTCTATTTAGAACAAAATGAAATGGCAAATCATTTGCAAAACTGTCCCTATAAACCTAGGATTGTTCAAGCAGAAGAAATGCAACCTCAAAATATGGAAAATGAATACAATAGAGAACAAAATATTAAGTACAACTATGACGTCAACAATTTTACTACAGAAGAACCTATGTGGGACTAAATTTTTGAATAATTATATTTAAACCTTATTAAGTTATCTAATACAGTTAAAATATTTGTATTAATAGACTCACATTATATGTTATTCTCTGTTAAATAGAATACTCAATTGTTATTTTTTTAAATGAAAAATTGACCATAATTGTTACTTGTACAAAGAAACGTTAGATTAAAAAAAAAATTGATTTAAAATTAAATATTAATTTTAATATCATTCAATAATGTATATTTAATATAACGTAACATTCCAAGTTGTTTTTGGATAACAAATATAAAATCTAGGTATTTTAGCTTAAAGATTTAATTAGTAATTTATCCGATCATTATTTTTTTTGGTTTAATTAATTTATATTTTTGGTAGATAGTTAAATGCTACTTATCTATTTACCAAATATTTGGTATTTATTGATATTTATCAAGAAGTGGGAACTGTGCACTTAGTATAGTGTAAGAGAATAAAAAAACCAGCACAGTGGGGATATGGCATAGTTTGGTCAAGTATAATGATATCTGACAGTGATTAAAGTCACTATCATAAAAAACGCTTTGATGCAAATCTGTAGATAGTGTTTAATTTAAAAAAATTAGTGGATTATTCCAAAAACTACATAATCTCCTATTTCCTTTTTTATATCCTGATTACAAGTTTTATGATTTATAATTATCATGTATGAATAAATATATATATATTTAAAATATATGAATATATAAAGGGAAATGGTGTTATTTAAAAAAAAAGTATGTAGAATGAAAGGGAACATAAATATTATTTCTCATAAAAAAATTGTATTGATCCATACACTTTTCAATAAGTTATAGTATTACCAAGTTAAAAATGTAAAATATAAAATCGAGTATTTTCACATAAAAATAGCATTTGGTAGCCATTTTCACTGTGAAGACAAAATAAAGTCAGAATTTTTTTTTTCATAATAAATGACATTACATTATCTTTAATTTAAAATTTATATAAAAGTGTCAGACTTTCCGAAACACTTTCAAAAGTTAATTTTTTGTAAAAAATTTGTCATTTTATACATCCCCCTGTAGGCAGGTAAAGGGTCAGATTTATAAAAAAAAATATACCAAATGATCGGTAAAAACATCATGCAGCTATAAAAAAAAATTATATTGATATGTTCATTTTTGAAAAAGTTACGGCAGTTCTTAGTAAAAAATTTTTTAAAAATGTCGAAAATTAGCAATTTTTAAACTTGTAATTTTTTTGGAAATTTTTCCCTTATACGGAGAATAAGTGAAATTTTTTCAATTTTTGATGGTAATGTCTTCGACTAGATACGAATTGTGATCTTTTGACGTATTGTTGAAATAAATCGGTTCGATGAGAGCTGAGAAAAAGTGGTAACAGACAAAAAAAAAAAACACATAGTAAAACCAATACCTTTCCAGCTTTGTATAGAAGCTAAATATTGGGTGTAATTTATTATGAAAGTAAAGTGACACGATTTTACTTATATTGAGAAAGAATTTAGATATTTATCCAAAGTTTTGATGTGTAACTTTGTAATTTCTTATAAAGTAATTTGTAAAATTATTATTTTTTAATTTGAAACACTTTTTTAAAAATTATAATTTTATTAATAGCTAATAACAATTTATTTTTGTGTTGAATTTGTAAGTATATAAAAGAAATTACTAATTGTATGATAAATATATAATTATTATTAAATCTTCTTTTTACTATTCTATGGACTTTGTTACAGTAATTTTTAGGCTATAAAATATTTTCCATGAAACTAAGATAATTAGTAAAATTATTCTAAATCTGTATTAACCAGTTAGTTGTAGTTTTACTTTAATTGGTATGTATATAAATTATATTTAATAAATAGATATGAAAATACCAAAAATCATAACTTGTATATACCATATTTTTTTGTTAAAAATTTTAATATAATCACAACTTTTATTGATGTAAAAATTTGTTCTAATACAATATGTGCTTTACTGCTAAAATTAGATAATTTAGTAAATTTACAGACATTTTAAAAAAATTTTTTAAATGTTTTTAATTTACAATATTATTATTATTATTATTTTATGGTATTTACAATATATATGTATATTAATTACTGATGTTAGAATTCTTCATCATCATTGAGGTCATCAAAATCTGTAACATATTAGGAATATGTATATTAATATACATAGATATATTATATTATAGATGTTAACAAGAGAATAGAGCAAAGCATAAGTGTATCAGAGATGAGTATGCTTAGATGGATGAGTGGAGTGAATAGAGAAGATAGGATAAGGAACGAACATATATTAGAGAGTTATAAAGTGGGTATTGTTGAGAAAAGAATACATAAATATAATAAATTTTATTAATAGAAAAGTTTAGTGAAAAGAAGAAAAAACTTTGTATAGTATTTATAGTTTTGGAGAATGCGTATGAGTACCAAGAGAGTTCTAATGTGGGCATTAATGAGAAAAGGAGCTCAGGAAAGATACATTAATATAATAGAAGATATGTATGATGGCACATGTACAAGGGTAAAAAGCATAGAAAGAGTAACAGAAGGTTTTAGGCTAAAAGTAGGAGTGCACCAAGATTCTGCTTTAAGCCCTTACTTATTTTCTATAGTGACGGAAGAAATTACTAAAAAAATACAAGAAGTACCAGCTATGATCTATGGTTCAGAGTATTGGGCGGTTGACAAGAGAATAGAGTAGAGAATGAGTGTAGTAGAGATGAGAGATATAATATAAGAGGGAGTGTTGATTTTCTTAACATAATCAAAAATTTGAAAAAAAAAATTGACAGGATGTTTATTTGTTCTCATCCATATTACATTGGATTAATGTCAGGGTTTTCAAAAACATTATGACAAAGTAAAAGTTAAATACCTCAAATTTGTTAGAAATATTTTATTATGATACTTGCATTTATCAAACAGTTTTAACAACTTGTTAGCACGGGGCAGTTTTATAGAATACTGGCTTCATTATTAAAAATAGATGATACCCATTATTTTTGAAGGACCTTTTAATTTTTTTTACATACAAAGCATCTCAGTGGGTTTCTGAAAAGACCACATAATTTTAACAAAGGTATTTTCGTGATATTTATTTAAAAGTTTGTCACAGTTATACATATTCATTCGTCAAATGTTCATATGTATATATATAATTTAATAAGTATTAAGAAATATTAACAAATTTTTTTTTTTTAGTTTGCTGGATTTTCAGCAGAATCACTAGCAGAACGTATGGCTGATTGCAAATGTAAAGTTCTAATTACTGCTGATAGTGTATATCGAGGCGACAAATTGTTGAATATAAAAAATATTTGTGATTCAGGTAATTCACAGATACTCGAGTAATATTGATAAAATTATAAATTTTTGAATACATTCAATAGCAGACCGACAGAAAAAGTGACCTTGAAAATCACACTTCTAGCATACGTCGCTTGTTACTAGTTACCAAATTTATATAAATCCTATAGGTGTAATTATGGAGGGATATAGATGTCATATTTATTGAAGGTGGGGGTGACAAATTGATTTATTTATATCCTCTCATAAGACGNGGGGGTGAAAAATTGATTTATTTATATCATCTCATAAGAAGAAATTATAATTATATACCAAGCATCTTAACGGGGTTGCTAAAAAGACCACATAATATAAACAAAGGTATTTTTGTGATGTTTATTTAAAAATTTGTCACAGACATACATATTCATTCGTCAAATGTTTATATGTAAAGGGCACAATGGCCTCACTATTACAATAAAGAATATAGCACAAATCAGTTTTACTTTTTAGATATGGGTCTTTAATTAGGGTATATTAACACCATATAGTGTTAATAGGAGAAAATTAATCAAAGGCTAGAGATGTAGAGATTGAAGGACAGGTATTAAGAATAAGTAGGAGTAAGATACAGTACAAATTTGATAAACAAGAACACAAGATAGGTGAAATGAGGAAATCAGTGACAATAGAAAATAGACTTAGATGGTTTGGTCATATTAATGGAAGTTTAGCATAAGAATGGCCGACCCCAAGTAATTGAGATTAAGGTGAGGAAAAAGAAGAATAATATAATTTAAGTTGTAATTATAAAATATTTTTTGAAAATCAAGAAAGTATACATGCCAATACCAACTTAACAAGTGTTTTTGAAGAATTTGGAAAGTTAATAGTTGTAGAAATCACTTTCAAAACCTTAACGTAACATAAACAATTTTAAAGTCACTTTAAAACTATAGCATTTTATAAATAATTTAATACTTAAATTATTTGTGTGATCTTCAAAATGCATATTATAATAGAAATAAAAGACATAAATTCCAGTAAATTCAAATTAAATATTGTTATGGCAATTCAAAAAAAATTATACAAATCACGTTTTCAATTACTTCACCATTTTATTATAATATACTTTTTTATTTTAAGTTAGATTGTGATAAATATAATGCATTTTATGAAATACCATTGTAAAAATCAGCTTGGAGATTTTTATCATTCATTTCATACATAACATTGCTGCCTGCCTGAAAATAAAGAATTAAAGTGTTACTAAAAAATGAACACTGTTAGAACAAGTTTAACTTAGAGGAGTCTCTGAGAAGTTATCAAAGTAAAATCTTTTTTCAATTTTATATTTAATAAGTTTTTATAGAAGCCTGCAAAGCTTTCAAAATATTGAATAATAGGAAGCTTTGTCTATTTACTCCCTCCCATAAAATTAAATGAATAAGATGTTTAAACCCCATGGCTGCAATTATAAATACGTCCCACTTCAAAATTTTATTAAATACAAAAAAATTGTATGTACTCCCATTAGGGAAAGAAAAATTACCAGCACACACATTAATGTAAACTCTTTAAATGTTGGGCGCTAAATAGCAGTTATGTCTGTCTGGGCTTGTATTTGAAATTTGTACTTGAAAATTTAACCTCTTTATCTTAAAATTGTTTAAAATAAATTATTTACTATATTAGATTAAAGATATTACACATTTATATTATGTATTAACTTTAAGAATATTTTAATAAGTTAATGTTTCAATAAAAATATTCAATTTATATTTTTGGTATACTTAGCGACTTCAATTATAATAAAGACTAAACAATCTAATGTAAATAATACCATAAGTTATCTAACAATAAGAAAAAACATTATTACATAATTTTTTTGCAGACAATTGAATTGTGTTATGCAAAAAGCAAACATCCAGCAAAATATAAAGAAATGAGATTTTATTAAAAACAGATAGAAAATATCCTATTGTGAATTTTGCAAACTACAAAAATCCAATATTTAATTGTAAATTTTTCTGAAACTATGCTTCAGAATAAAACTTATAGTTTTATAATAATGACAATATATATATAATAATAATCCTAGTTTTTATTAAAGTTACAGTAATTTTTCATTAAAAAAAAAAACGTGCTTATAAAACATATATTAGTTTCCATATGAAACTAAAATGGTATTAATTTTACTATAATATATTTTATTTTATTAAATTACCAAAACTAAGCTATTTTTTATTAATAAATCAAAGTGTTTTTAGAGCAAACTATATACTTGGATAAATGGAAAGATTTAATAATAACTTACTTCATCATCCATGTCCATAATTGCACTAGTTCCTTCAGGGAACATTTCATCTGCAACAATTCCAGGTTTCATTATTCTTGGAACTAAAATAAAATGTATATAATAACAAACTTTTATTAAAAAGTAAAATTGATTATTATAATGTCCCTCAGAATTATCAATAACAATTTGTATTCATATATATATAACAGTATGTATTAATCATAAATAAAAAAATAAAATTCGGTTGAAAAATATCTTTTAACTTAAATCACGAAATATATTTTCAGATGATATTTCGTATAGACTTTATTAATAATTTGACTTATGATTATTACTAAATTATAAAAACTTAATTACTTGACAGAAAAAATATGATGTACACACTAATGAGAATAGACAAAATACTATATATTTTGAATAGATTTCAAGGATTTTTCTACAAATATTTAAACATCATGAAATGTAATTTCTTTAAGTTAATAAGTTTGTAGCAAACATAATCTGTTATCAAATGATAATAAGTATGTGGTAGATATTGTTATCACAGCGAAAATTTGTATAGCCTTCTACTAAAAAACCTCATAATTTATATATTTATTCTGTGATATTTTGTAGTATTATTGCAATTTTTCATATAAAACTATATATATAATTTTTCATATAAAACTATATATATAATTTTTCATATAAAATATATATTTTTCTATACTAAAAACACAGAAAAGATAAAAAGTCTTATTTTATTTTTTCTAATATCATTTGTTTTCCCTTTTCTTAAAATAAATTCAGAGTTAAAAATATAATTCTAATTTTTTTTTGGTAGATTATTGATAAGTAATTTTAACTAAAGATTAAAATTAAAAGTTACATGTACTTATATATTTTGATAAATTTCTGAAGATAATTTTAGTGGATTTTTGTTTTTAAAAATGTAACGTCTTTGGTACAACTTAACTGAATTTTGTCGCAAATTACTAACATTTTTATAACTTTATTTGTTTATTTAATTATTGTAATGGGACGTGATAAAATTTCTAAGAAAAAATCTAACATAAGAAGATATATTAATAAACAAAGAACTAAAAAATTAAGTCATAAAGTTTTTGAATTGTTACCAAATGAAATTAAAAAAGATACTTCATTGTTAAAATACTGGTTCAAAAGATACAGACTATTCAGTAAATTTGATCTAGGAATAAAACTTGATAAAGGTATTTTGAAAAAAATATTACATGAAGAATAATAGAACTATTAAAACCTATAGTTATTTTCTACTTTAATTTCAAGTTTTTCAAATTTCAGATGTTAAATAATATTTTATACACTAGAACCTTAGTCATTCAACAATCTTTTTATCAGTTTTATAAAAGGCTTACCAAAACTTTATAACACAGAAATGAGAAAAATCCTTAAAAAGTTATGTGAATTAAAATATAGATATAGTCTTTATAATCATGTTTTTAGTGTGAATATTTCAATATTGAATGTATTACACTAACAATTTCAAAAAAATAAAATTTTTTTGTTTACAATTTTAAATAATGATCAAAAAGTGATCAATAAAAAAAGTTCAGCTATTTTAGTATTAATGTTAATGAATTATACTTGATCCTTATTGATTTAGTTGGATGATTTAGGTTTACAGTGTTAATGTAATTAGGTATTTAATGAACTATAAATTAATTTCTCTGATTGATATAATTTTATTTTAATAAATATAAATAACCCTTTATTATTTTAGAAAGTTGGTTCTCAGTGACACCTGAAAAAATAAGTAAAAATATTGCTAAAAAATGTTTATGTGATTTATTAATTGATGGTTTTTGTGGTGCTGGAGGTAATACTATTCAATTTGCTTTTACTTGTAAAAAAGGTAAATATTTAAAGGCAATTGTATTTGCCTCTAATAGCTTATAAATTATAGTTACAATAATGTATCCTAAAGTAAATATTTTATGTATTATTTTTGTAAAAAAATACCAAAATAAACCCTTCCTCAATCATAATAAGGTTGCATCAGGGTGGAAGCCATAGTGAAAATCCTACAAACCGTAAGATAAAGCTAACTCCAAATAGTTGGGAGAAAAGCTAAGAAAATTATTATAATACTTTATATTCATATAAAAAAATATTTTTTCAAATAATTTTTAGCATCAAATTAACAATTAATTTGAAAACAAAGCTGCTGTCCTAACAAAAGTGTATCTCCAAAATTTGAATTTTTGGTGAGCTGATATCAAAAGGTTTAAACTATTTAAAAAATGTGAAAATACTTTAATACAATGTAACTGTGACATTTTGGCTTCTAAAATCCATACAAAAATACTGTACTTATATATTATTCTAATCCCTTACTAACAATAAAATCATTTTTAACCAAACAACTAAATAATCCACAGTTTCTTACAATTAGTTAACACTGTGTACTATTTCTAACTAAAACTATCCATTAAATTTTCAGATCATGAGGTTTTCTCTTACAAACATCATTAGCTTATAAAAGAAAAGAAATTTTCAAAAAATGTGTTCAATTTAAAACAATATTTTTGTTATTTTAGTTATTGCAATAGATATTGATCCAATAAAAATTGAACTTGCACGGAATAATGCTAGAGTTTATGGTGTGGAAAATAAAATTGAGTTTATTATTGGTGATTATTTATCATTGATTCCAACTTTGAAAGCAGATGTAGTATTTTTATCTCCACCATGGGGAGGTCCAACATATTTATCACAAACAATTTTTGATTTGGATAATATAATGCCCCAGTATGGAGGAGGAAAAAATTTATTTGAAATGACACGCAAGGTCACTGAAAATATAGCTTATTTTCTACCTAGAAATATTGATTTAAAACAGGTATAATAAATTGATTAATCTATTACTAAAAATTGAAAAAAATTATGATGGTGGCAATATTTTATCTGATTATTCCATAACAACTCTTGTTATTTAAATAATTAAAATTTTTTAAAAATTAAAAAAAACAATCAAATTTATTTTATAAAAATAAAGTTAAAATAATCAATATAACTTTGTTAAGTTTCATTCTTTCAATCTCACAATCATAAATTAGATATAAACTTATGGAAAAAATTGTAAGTATTTTTGTTTTTATTTTAATTTCACCAACTAATTGGAATATAGTGACTTTTAATAGTATAAAATAGGAAATGCTCAAAATTGGCTAATAATAGTTAATAACTATGTAAAATAATATATGTTTTTTTATTCTGCCTGAAAATGTTAATTTTTAATATATTGATAAAGATTTTGACAAAAATTGAGATAAATCCATCAAGTTCAACTTGTTTTTACGAGGCTTTAAAGTTGAATTAACATAAAAAACAAAGCTTAAATATTCAGTATAATTTTTCATTGGATTAGTTCATAATGAAAAAATTTAAATTTATAGAAAATGTTTTAAAAAGGATTCCAAAATATTCATTTTACTTACTAAAATATAAATTATTGTTATTAATAGTAAAAAAAATGTATTTAGGCTCAAAATATTTTAGTTATGACATATTAAGTTTCTTACAAAAATCAACTTTTATTTCATGTTTTTCCACTTTCCACTAAATTATTTCTTTTTTATTTTATTAATTAAATTCTTTTGAATAAAAAGAAGTTTATATATATAAAATAATTTTTCTTAATTTATTGCTTGTTTAAGCCACAAGTTGATACTGGGAGTTTAGGCGCAATGATATTTCTCAAAAATGTATTCTGAATTTCTACTGTTAAATTCTATGAAAAACCCTACACCATCTTTAATAATTATTTAATCTTTCTTGTATTTAATAATTTGGCTCATTCAATTATTATTTAAAAAATGTTATAATATTTTTGTCATAGTCAGCAAATTATTTTTTAATCTGGTAATAATTCAATTTTTTATTTTATTATAGTGTATTAGATTAGCTGGTGATAGAAAACATGTTGAGTTTGAAAATAACTATTTTAATAACATATTAAATTCAAAAACGGCATATTATGGAAATTTAGTTAATGAAAATATAAGGTATACACTTTTAATAATACTACATTATTTTTAAATATTATTTTTTATTAACAACTTTTTTTTTCTATAGTTAAAAATCAGTAACAATTTGTGCATGTAAAATGTCTAACAAAATGATATGTTTATGTGAAGCAAACATTTCCTTAGTCAACTTAATGTGTTGATACATATAAATATTTTTTTTAACAAATAAGCTTAACAACATAAATAATTATAGATTGAATATTATTTATAATAAAATATATTTGTTAGGAATATTTCTATGTATTAAAGATGTAATAATTTTAATATATGGTTAATCTAAAACATTACTTGACGTCAATATAATTAAAATTCAAGTATAGTTCGATTTTCGTTGATAATTAAAAATACTTAACACTTAAAATTAATTATTATAATTACAGTCAACATAGTATTTTATTTTACAAAACATTTTGTATGTATCGAACAATAGTTAATATATGTATTAATTCACACATCAAAATATCTATAAACAATAAATTTTTATTTTACTTTGCTTAATATATCCATTTATACCTAATTATATTATGCTGATATGTATTCCTGTTTAATAAAAACAACTAGAAAAATTAAAAATGTTAAGTTGTCATTTTGATATGTATCTTTTATAACTTATAAATTAACATATTTGCAATTTGCACTCAATGGTTATCAAGTTTTCTAATAATAATTTTATGAAAATATTAGTAATATATAATGTTAGTGTACATTGTTAATTATCCAATTACGTTTTTTCTGGTCTGTTTCTAAACAATTCATCAACAATGTGTTCATCGGCTAAAGTTGATATATCTCCAACCTCTCTATCATTAATAGCAATTTTTCTAAGAACTCGTCTCATAATTTTACCTGATCGTGTTTTTGGAAGTCCCGGAGCATGTTGAATAACATCAGGCATAGCAAATGGTCCGATATTTTCCCTCACTATAATATTTTTGATACATTATTCATTTTTGATATTATATAAAATAATTATAAGACATTTGGAAAAAGATACTTATAAAAATTAAATTACAAATTACTTAAATTAATTCACTACTCATTTTGTTTTTTAATCATTATTTTATCTATTGTCTTTTTATCAAAGAATTATACAAAATTTTATAAAATCGTTAATTTTAATGTGAAGTTCAGAAGATAATTTTACTATGATTTTTTTTTAAATATAAATTCTCAGCTCTAACTGAATAAACTTAACTAAGAAATACCAAATATAATCATTTTTTTTTATTAAGCTAATTATTTTTTATTATTAATAAAAAATAGTTATTATAAGTTTCATTATATTGCTAAATTGTAACCTTTTTTTATCAGCTCGGAAGATAATTTTGGTGTAAATGGCACTCCGCTGTTAGGCGTAACAAAGCAATATAGGCATTCTCCCTTTATTGGATGAGGCCTTGATACTACTGCTGCTTCAGAAACATCTGGATGTTCAGTAAGCACGGATTCCACTTCAGCTGTACTCATTAAGTGTCCGGATACATTTAACATATCATCTACTCTACCCGTTACCCACAAGTAGCCATCTTCATCGCGTCTAGCTCCTTAATAATAACATTTTATTATTATATTTTAATTTAAATATATTAACATAGTTTTTTGGAAGTCTCATTCGATTTTAAGTATTTAAAGTCAATCAAATTTTCTTAGGAATATAATCCACTTTGTGTTTTATGTAAACTAATGAAATAAAGGAAGTTTTCCATTTTATATTTCTAAAATATATCCTTATTATTATGATTGAAAACTATTACTTCTTCAAGCAAAACTTGATCAACACTCTTATAAAATTGTGTTTTTCCAAGGTCTCTAAAAATGATTATATATGCATTTAATGAAAATAATATGCTAGTATAAGTTTTTAATTTAGTTACGATATTGAGAACATAATAATTTTATAATAATATATTTTAATTGTTTTGAGTATATCGCCGCTTGTAATAGAACAATATATTTAAAAGTATTTATCAATAAGTCAAAAGATCCTGGATTAAATGACATTTTTTTTTTCATAATTCTATAAACTAGTCTTTTTGTTAAGGGGGATTTTTAAATTTTGTATAATGTAAATAAAATATATGTGATTCTCTATAAAGTATTCTACAAATTATATTATTTTATAATTTGCATGTAACGTTCAAGATTAAACCAAGCCGCAGTCAATATAGTTTGCCTAAATACGAAACTGGATAAGTAGATCTTCTACCTAAGATGTTTGAATTATTTTTTAAAACTTAAATCGGTCAGAGTTTTGAATTAAATTACACTTTATACCAATTGATGGGTACATCAAAAAAACAATAGTTGTCCATTGTCTTCAATTTTAATTTTATAGTTTGATTCGATAGCCAATTAGCAGTGTATATAAATAATGAAATCCATTAGGTAAAAAATGTCTTCATTTTGCTAATATTAAACCATCCAGTTTTGTTTTATTATTAAAAGAATGGGAATTATTACTTTGTTTTTGCTTTCCTGAAAAAATTTACATAAATGGACTTCTATTTTTCCTATGTACCCATCGATTATTACTTACCATCTCCAGTACAGTAGTATCCTGGAAATTTACTAAAATAAACCGACTGATAGCGCTCATGATTACCAAATAATGTACGCATCATTCCGGGCCAAGGTTTATTAAACACCAAGTATCCCTCACCAACTCCTTCGATAACTTGCCCATTTTCATCTAGTAGAATTGGATTAACTCCAAAGAATGGAAAAGTCTTTACAGAAATAAAGAACTTAGTGACTACTAGAATAAAATGCAAAAAGAACTTACAGCTGAGCCTGGTTTCATTGGTGTACAGCCAGGTAATGGGGTAATTACATGTCCTCCAGTTTCAGTTTGCCAAAATGTATCTGCAATAGAACAACGCTCATTTCCAATATTTTTGTAGTACCATAACCACGCTTCTGGATTAATAGGCTCGCCTACCGATCCCAATACTTTAAGGGAATTCAAATTGTGTCTATATTTTAAATGATACATCATTATTAAAAATATTTTGTATAATAATTTACTAGTTATTGTTATGTTTATATTAATATAAAAGTTAATTTAATTATTATTACTTTTACATTGTTATAAATGAATCAATAAATTTCTTATAAATAGCTACCGAGTGTTAGTGAATTTAAGGAATATGGTGGTTACTTTTGTGGCAAAAACCTTACAATAAAAAATATGTAAATTAATAATAATGATTTAAGGAGCTAAGATTTTATGATTAACGTAAGTTATTTCATTATTCTTGACAACAAAATCTCAGGAGATTTCTTATATACAACTTAAAAAGACAAACAGTGAACAGATAATTTAAATAATATTTGTATTTTTATAATACTTCTTAACTGGTTCCTCTCCAAATTTCATCAATGCACGTATAGCTGTTGGAGCTGTATAGAATTGTGTAACCTTATATTTTTCGATTATTGACCAATATCTTGAATTATCTGGATAAAACGGCGTACCTTCAAACTGAAATATACGTTGAATTTATTTTTAATTTAAAGTAATAATTACCCAACAATATGACAATAGTTGTAATATTCTGCAAAGGTCTAAATATTTATTTTGAAACATTCAGACAAAAAAGTAAGATTAGGTATTCTTAATGGTTTTTATTTAATAAACGTTAAAATTTATCTAAATGTTATATTTAGATTATAAGTATTAATACCCAAAAACCAAAAGATACAATAGTAGTTCAAGTCTATATGCCGACATCAAATAGTAACGATGAAGAGGTAGAAGAAGTATACGAAAATATAGATAAAATAATCGAAAATGTTAAAGGGGAAGAGAATCTGGTAATAATGGGTGATTGGAATGCCGTTGTAGGGGAAGAAAAAGTAAATAATGTAACAGGTGCCTTTGGGTTGGGAACGCGAAATGTAAGAAGAGAACGCTTATTAGAATTTTGTGCAAAATATAACTTAATAATAACAAACACTTGCTTCGATCACCATCGAAGAAAAAGATACACGTGGAAAATGCCAGGAGACATAAATAGATACCAAATAGATTACATCATGATTAAGAACAGATTTAAAAATCAACTAAAGGAAAGTAGAAGTTACCCAGGAGCGGATATAGATAGCGACCACAATCTAGTAATGATGAAATGTGAACTTAAATTTAAAAGAATAATGGATAAAAAGAAGAAAATAGTGCAATGGAAAATTAAAAATCTGAGAGATGAGAAAATAAACAAAAAATATAGTGAAGACACTAATGGTATAATTATTGAAGAATCCCNGTAATGATGAAATGTGAACTTAAATTTAAAAGAATAATGGATAAAAAGAAGAAAATAGTGCAATGGAAAATTAAAAATCTGATAGATGAGAAAATAAACAAAAAATATAGTGAAGACACTAATGGTATAATTATTGAAGAATCTCAAAATATTTAAAAAAGATGGCAGAACTTGAAAGACACAATTACAATGGCTGCAACGAAAACTCTAGGAAATAGCAACAATGCAGCAAGAAAGGAATGGATTACAACGGAAATAGTCAACATAATAGAGGAAAGAAGGAAATACAAGAGTTTGAACAGTATAGATGGACAGGAAAAATACAGAGTACTGAGGAATCTAATCATTAGGAAATCGAGGGAAGCAAAAGAAAAATATTTGGAAGAAAAGCGTAATGAAATAGAAACCCTCATAAAGACAGGAAGTAGTGATGAAGCATATAGAATTGTAAAAATGTTTTTTGGTCAACATAAGCTTCGAGCAGGGGGAATAGAAGATAACAACGAAAGAATGCTATATGAACAAAATGATATAGCGAAAAGATGGAAAGAATATCTAGAAATCCTGTACAAGGGGGAAACTCTTAAGGAAAATGAAACCAACGAATCAAACGAAGAAGATAAATCTAAAGAAAATGAGGAAATACACCCAATTATGAGAGAAGATTTCGTCAAAGCTTTGCGGAATCTGAAAATTAAAAAAGCAGCAGGAATCGATGGAATACAAGCGGAGCTTTGGAAGGAGCCGGGAGAAAAAGTTAAAAGGGAATTATTTCAAATTATCAAAGTCATATACGAAACCGGTGAATTGCCTGAAGATTACGTAAAGAGCCTAATTATCCCCATCCCAAAGAAAACAGCAGCAAAGAAATGTGAAGAATACCGTACTATTATTTGCTATCCCATGCCTCTAAAATACTAACAAAGATTATATTCAAACGTATTGAAGGTAAAATAGAACAATCATTGACAGAAGACCAATTCGGGTTTAGAAGGAATATGGGAACGAGAGAAGCAATATTGGCGTTAAGGATAATCATTCAAAAAAGGATTAGGAAAGACAAACAAACATTTATAGCTTTTGTGGATATCGAAAAAGCATTTGATAACGTAAATTGGAAAGTAATGTTTAACATGATGAAAAGATTGGGGTTAAAATACACAGATAGGAAACTTCTGTATAACCTATAGAAGGATGAATCCTCAGTTATAAGGATCCAAGATGAGGAGGAAGAAGTAAAAATAAACAGAGGAGTTAGACAAGGTTGTACATTATCCCCAATTATATTCAACGCATATATTCAAAAAGCAATAGATATGATAAAGGAAAATGCCAATCTAGGGATAAAGGTTAACGGACAAAAAATAAGTATGTTACGTTTTGCCGATGACATAGCTTTAATTGCTGAATGCTAGAAAGATCTGGCTCAACTAATTAAAGCTATGGATAAAAAATTCGAAAAAGAGTTGGAAATGAGAATAAATGTGAAGAAAACAAAAGTAATGGTAGTGAAAGGGAAAATAATACAAGAATACAGATAAAAATACGAAACCAAGCAATAGAACAAGTAGATGAATTTACATACCTGGGAAGCGCAATCAGCAAGGATGGAAGAAACAGAAGTGAAATTATAAAATGTATCTTTCAAGCTAAAATAGCTTTTAACAAAAAGAAAACTATATTTACATCAAGAAGCATGAGTCTAAAAATAAGAAAAAACCTATTAAAGAAGTATGTATGGAGCATTGCTCTGTACTGGTGTGAAACCTGGACAATAGCAATGGAAGAAAAAAGAAGACTTGAGGCGTTTGAAATGTGGTGCTATAGAAGTATGCTAAGGATAAGTTGGGTGGACAGAGTAACCAATGTAGAAGTACTGGAAAGAATATCAGATGGAAAGTTACTATGGAATAACAGTCAGAAGACGCAACGAATGGATAGGTCATATAATGAGACACGAAGGATTATTGAAATTAATAATAGAAGGAAAGAACCGTAGGGGTAGACCAAGATTGGAATTAATTTAACAGATGATAAAGGACCAAGGATGTGACTCATATGTGGAAATGAAAAGGAAGGCGGATAAGAGGGAAGACTGGAAGATGGCTGCAAACCAATCTACGGATTGAAACCCTAGAGAGAGAGAAGTATTAATAAAAAGAAAATGCTTACAATTATTGAAGTCGCTCCGTTTGCTAAAGGTCCATAAGTAACATATGAATGGCCTGTAATCCAACCAACATCAGCTGTACACCAATAAATATCACTAGGATGGTAATCAAAAACATATTTAAAAGTAGTTGCAGCGTACAATAAATATCCTCCTGTTGTATGTAGTACTCCTTTCGGTTTTCCTGTTGAACCACTGTATATGAAATATATATTAGATTATTTTTGATACATACAATTTTTGTTTGCTAAAGATTGTGATGCTGAAATTTTTTAAATTTAAAGTCATTGTAGAGTTAGACTAGCTCCAAAATGTATACCGGGGTAGTAAATTTTAAATCAACTAATTATACCAAAATTAGCTTTACTTGAATACATTGGCGAAAATTGTAGCTAAACTTCTCATTGTCATATCTCAGAGAACGATTTTTTAATCTCTATGTTTTATTTATTAATAGTGTCTTGACTCTGCTTAAACAGTCCACAAAAAATGTTTTCAAACAATTTTTTCTTGGTCGTTACCCCCTCATCCCTTGCCTCATTATTTCTGTGGTTTGATAATCAAAAGGGTTAATATTAATAGCCAAAAGACAAGTTTGCGAATCTGAGCAGATGAGAAAAGAGGTATCCAAAGAAACACACTGATGAAGTTATGAGTCGGATTTTGACTACTATTGCATCGTTACACAAATATCACGAGTTTATAAATTTCTTGTAGAGCTATATAATTTACTATGAACTGATAATCATTAGTAAATTGGATTGCAAATAATTTAGAAAATAATTTTTACTCTAAATCTATTTTTGCTTTATAGAAAGCTTTTATTATTCTGTAACATTTATTTAACCTTGTGTATAACATAAATAATGGATCTTCCGCTGACATCCAAACAGGATAACAAGCTGGTTCTACATCATCCATCTCATCATGCCACCAAAAGTCTCTTCCATCTGTCCACGAAACCTAAAAAATTTATTGGTTAAAATTAATACGCAATCAAATTATATTTAATTAAGATGATTATTTACATCAGAATGGAGATCTATCACGTCAGATGCATTTCCGTTAGTTCCATTAGAATGGTTTGTTGATCTATATAATCTTGGTAAATGACGAACAACTATACATGTCTGAACTTCGTGACCAAAATTTTGACATCTTTCCATTGCTAAAAAAAATTAAGAACTAAATTGTAAATTTCATAGTTATTTAAAGTAATAAAAATATACATTTAACTTAATAAATAAGTGGTCGGAATTTTTAATTGTCAAAATGACAAAAATATTTTTTCATGACAGCTCTAAGACAATTTTCATATTAGTTAAAACAAGTGAAGATAAAAGGAAGCATATAGATTATAGTTTCTATAAACAAAAAAAAAATTACGCTATCAGATTTTAGAACTTCATAAAATATTTATCCAATTATCGCTTTCAAAATCTAATTTCTATAAAGAGTGAATATATTCGTAATAAATTAACAAAATATCTAAATATAAATTCAATATTTGTAATTAAACTTAATTAATTTTATTTTAAGATGAAAATAATTTGCTGATTCTAGATTATGTGTACATTTTTGACTTTTGACTAATTTTCATAGCAGTTCAAAAGTAATTGAAAAAAAACGGTAGAACAGTGGAGTCAAGGCACAGTGTGACACTTATGATAGAGATTAAAATCACTATCATAAGAAATACTTCGATGCAAATCAGTACATAGTATATAATTAAAAAAAACCCAGCACTGGAAGTCGCGGCACAGTGGAGACGTGGCATACTAGGGTCAAGTTTAATGATATCTGACAGAGATTAAAATCACTATCATAAAAAACGGTTCGATGCAAATCTTTAAATAGTGTTTNATCATAAAAAACGGTTCGATGCAAATCTTTAAATAGTGTTTAATTTAAAAAAATTGGTGGATTATTCCAAAAGCTACATGATCTGCTATTTCCTTATTTATATACTGATTAAGATAAAGTATGTCGAATGAAAGAGGGATATAAATATTATCTTATAAAAAAATTGTATTGATCTATATACTTTTCAATAAGTTATAGTATTATAAAGTTAGAAATATAAAATCAAGAATTTCCACACAAAAATAGCATTCAGTAACTATTTCCACCGTGAAGACAAAATTAAGTTCGAAATTTTTTTTCCCATAATAAAGTGTATTACATTAACATTAATTTAAGATATATATATAAAAGTATCATAGTTTTCGGAACACTTTCAAAAGTTATGGCAGTTTTAAGTAAAAAAAATTGAAAAAAAATTCGAAAATTAGCGATTTTTAAATATTTAATTTTTTTGGAGATTTCCCCCATTTACGGGGAACAAGGGAAATTTTTTCAATTTTTGAGAGTAATGTCTTCGACTAGATACAATTTGTGATCTTTTGACGTATCGTTGAAATAAATCGGTTCGATGAGAGCTAAGTAAAAGTGGTAACAGACAAAAAAAAAACACATAGTAAAACCAATACCTTCTCAGCTTTGCAACGAAACAAAAAATTGGTGTATTATTTTAAAAGCAAAAGTAACTCCTATTTTCTTCATTATTCCTCATTATCAGTTTTAGAATTTATAAGTATAATATTTGAATAAATACTAATTATAGTAATTAAATTTAGTATGAAATTAATATTCAATAATTTAATATTGTAATTTATATCGGAAAAATTATAAAAATAATAAAGTAGTTATATATTTCTTTACTTTTAACGCGATTAAAATTTAAAGGACTTGATACAAAACTGTTTAATAAAAATTGTTTGTTATTTATGAATAAATACACTGGACTACAAGAAATTTTCTTCAGAATCAAAAGTATACTTTTCTATATCATCTTTTTAAAATCGGTCAAGTGAGAGCTGAGATTGAGTGGTAACAGACACAATAAAAAATAAAAAACACTACTATATTAATATTTTCTCAGCTTTGCATTGAAGCTATAAGTTCAGTATTTTTTTGTAATACGTTATTTAATTCTTGATAGTGGTTGACTAGTAACTTTAGAACTCTACCAAAAATATCTATTAATAATTTTTTTTTCGTGTGTTAATTCCAACTGCCCTCGTAAATTCAGAATCTTGTGATTCAATATATTTCTCTTTTTTTGTTTGCATTTTCAATATTTCTATTTTAACCAAATTACTTTTTTTTGCTTCTCTTTTACAACCGATTGTTATTGTATCATATGAGTTTTTGCCGCCATCACTAAATCAGCCCACTTATCTCGATCCAGTACTATCTTTCTCCAATTCTGTGCTCCAAGGTCTTCCAAATCTTTTTCTACGATATCCATCCATCTTTTCCGAGGACGACCTAGTGGCCTTCTTCCTTCTGGTTTCTAATTTAATACTACCTTGGTTAATGTGTCTGTTTTACGCCGTATAACATGTCCTAGCCATTTTATCCTTTGACTCTTTATGAATCCCTTATTTATAACTATATTTAATTCTTCCTTTAATTCTTGGTTGAACTTTCTGCGTCATTAACCGGTCCTTAGATCCCTGATCGGACCACATATTCTTCTCCATATCTTATTTTCAAAAGTCCACAGTCTTCGCTGTGTTACACTTGTAGTAGTCCATACTTCGCAACCATATGTTAGTATCGGCCTTATTATTGATATATAGTCTTGTTTTTGTTTGCTTTAAAAGGAATTTAGATTTAAAGAATTTTAACAAAGCAAAAAACGTTCTCTCTGCTTTTGTTAAAAGCAAAATAAAGTGATTAATAAAATAATTTTCTTAAGATAATATAATAATAATATTTATTATTGATTATATTATATATTATATTAAACTTTAGAAGATATTACGTGGAACAAAGGACTATAGATTTAATTATTGAGCGGAGGTATAGGAAGCTGTGAGACCATCTTCTTTTTCCTCGCCTTAATCTTAACTACTTGGGCTCTTATGCTAAACTTCCACTTAAGACGATCTTCCACATAATCTACGCACACATCAGCCGTCCTCATATCGTATTCAATAACATCCCACCATCTATTTTTAGGTCTTTCTCTACCTTTTTTTCCTTCAAAATTAATTTCCATAACTGTTTTTATAGCTTCCGATTCCTCTTTTCTCATAATATGACCAAACCATCTAAGTCTATTTTCTCTCTGTTGATATTATTAAACAACACACTGAGTACAGTAATATTATTTAAGATAACAGTTTAATGTATTTTTACTTATGTTAGTATAGTACAAGGTCAAAGGGATACATTCCTTTTACGATTATGTTGTTTTACTCAATGCAGCCTATTCTATACATGTTTACAGTTTAGTTGTAATTTCACCATCTATCGAGTAAAGTGACCCGTTGCCGTTGTACATCTCTTATATTATATACTATTATATTACGAATAACTTCTAAATATTTTAATTATTACATAACCTATTCCATTCAACACTCTCATCTTGTAAATTTGTCTCATTTGTGTACAAATGAGAATAAGAGTCCACAAAACGTATATTTATGTAATAGAGAGGGTAATGTGTATGGACAACTAGAGGATTTCAACATAATAGTAGATGTGCACTAAGGTTTTGTTTTAAACCCTTACCTATTTTCTATAGCAAAGGATGAAATTACTAAGGCAAGACAAGGAGAGGTACTATGGTGTATGTTATTTGTTTTTGATATATTGTTGATAGGAGAAAATAGGAAAGAAGATAATCAAATAAAGTGTTTTTTATAGTAATTATTAAATGCAAAAAATATTAAACTCTTCTTATGTTCGATTTTTTAACTTTCATTCAGCATGAATAAGATGTGAGTTAGAGAACTGAAGATTTCAGGCAAGTACTTTTTAATAACCCTTAAAAATATTTCTTGGTATAGAATGCCTTTAGAAAAGATCTATTAGACCAGTTGTTACAAACATCGTTGATTATATTATATAGTGTGACAGCTGATCTCCAGCGTCTTGCTTCATTCACCCCTTTGCCCACCCAGCACGGCAAATCGATGACCTTCGTGTCAATTGTCATCCATGTACAGTTCATCGTCGTAAGTCAGTCAGTCAATTTGTTTTATGTGTCATTCTCTTCTGTAGCAGGCGCCAAACCATCTAAGTCTATTTTCTATTATCTTATCTACGATTAACGCTATACCAATACTCCCTTTTATATATTCATTCTTTATTTTATATTCTCTAATCATGTCACTCATCCATCTAAAAAATCTCATCTATGCTACACATATTCTCAGCCTTTTCTCTTGTCAACCGCCCAACATTTTAAACCATACATCAAGGCTGGTCTCATTACAGTCTTAAAGAATATACTTTTCAGAATTAAAATTCTCTTATTCTATAACATTCCAGACACTTCCCTTTTTTCATACATCCACTTTTAATTCTATGTCTTACAACCTCGTCAATACCACCGTTCTTTTGCACAAAAATTAAAACTTTCTACCACTCTTATTGTCAATGATTTCCTCATTTCACCTATCTTGTGTTCTTGTTTATCAAATTTGTACTGTATCTTACTCCTACTTATTCTTAATACCTGTCCTTCAATCTCTACATCTCTAGCCTTTGATTAATTTTCTCCTATTAACACTATATGGTGTTAATATACCCTAATTAAAGACCCATATCTAAAAAGTAAAACTGATTTGTGCTATATTCTTTATTGTAATAGTGAGGCCATTGTGCCCTTTACATATAAACATTTGACGAATGAATATGTATGTCTGTGACAAATTTTTAAATAAACATCACAAAAATACCTTTGTTTATATTATGTGGTCTTTTTAGCAACCCCGTTAAGATGCTTGGTATATAATTATAATTTCTTCTTATGAGATGATATAAATAAATCAATTTTTCACCCCCACCTTCAATAAATATGACATCTATATCCCTCCATAATTACACCTATAGGATTTATATAAATTTGGTAACTAGTAACAAGCGACGTATGCTAGAAGTGTGATTTTCAAGGTCACTTTTTCTGTCGGTCTGCTATTGAATGTATTCAAAAATTTATAATTTTATCAATATTACTCGAGTATCTGTGAATTACCTGAATCACAAATATTTTTTATATTCAACAATTTGTCGCCTCGATATACACTATCAGCAGTAATTAGAACTTTACATTTGCAATCAGCCATACGTTCTGCTAGTGATTCTGCTGAAAATCCAGCAAACTAAAAAAAAAAATGTATTAATATTTCTTAATACTTATTAAATTATTAAATTAACACGCTTATATTAGTTTCACCTGTATGTATATATGTATGTTTGTAACTCTCCAAGCACCACGCGTTATCGCATATTCCGTCGTCTATGGCCTTAAGACTAGAATGTCANTAACACGCTTATATTAGTTTCACCTGTATGTATGTATGTATGTTTGTAACTCTCCAAGCACCACGCGTTATCGCATATTCCGTCGTCTATGGCCTTAAGACTAGAATGTGATAACGCATTCACCCCACCCCACGCCTCGCTCAAAACACCACGACAACACTATTCCTGTATAAATTTATTTTTGGTAATCATACCCGTACACGCGTGCTTGTCATCAATATTATATATATATATATAAACAAATTTTTATGTTGACTGACCAATACCATCCGCGTGCCATACGGCTTACGATATTCCTACCGCCGTTTATATATCAAGTATAACATTAGTCCGACCCACCCGCCCACAAAACACGGCTATACCTAGTGCATGATACGTTTACGTACTTAAGTCGCTTTACTTGTATATATATATATTCTAATTACTATTGAATTTAAAACTAAAATTTATATATTAACACGCTTTATTCTAATTAAGAGATATAAAGTATTCATTCCGATTACGAGGAATGATTTCCGTATCGTCATTTTTCGTCACTACCTCCACGTTCAGGGAGTGAGTAATTTGCGCGCCTGCTTCTTTCTTTGGATGTGGTAGCCGTTACTCTGATTCCCTCTCTGGAATCGAACTCTGATTTCCCGTTACCCGTAACAACCAAGATATTGATAGTAACTACTATCATAACATGAAACTAAAAAGTGAAAAATAAATATAGTTTAAGAAAACTAAAAAAACACGCTTTTAAAGCACATGGAACTAAAAAGTTAAAAATAATTTTTAAAACAAGCTTAAAATAATTATGAACAAAAAATACTAGTATTATTGTGATAAAAGCGTCGGGCGCTCAATATACGAAAAATATAGCACAAAGTATCCACGCTTTTATCACAATAATACTAGTATTTTTTGTTCATAATTATTTTAAGCTTATTTTAAAAATTATTTTTAACTTTTTAGTTCGATGTGCTTTAAAGGCGTGTTTTTTAGTTTTTTTAAACTATATTTATTTTTAAAATGTAACTTGGATGTTTTTATAGGAATTATGATTTATTTTATACATACTGATTGGTTTATCATAAACCACTCGATTACTCTCAAATAAATTCAATATTAAAAAAAAAATTAGTTTTTTTAGCTAGAAATATTTTTTGATTTATTATCTATTTATTACTTTTTTGGAACATTCCTTATAACACATAGGGGCGTCAACTTTATTTTTTAAATGACTAACTATTATATATAATAGATAATAATCAAATTGAAAAAATTACTCCTTTTTCCTTTTTTATAAGCTAGTTATATATGTGTGTTCCCAATTACAAGAATAAATTTGATGCTATAATATGATAATCAGTATTAGTATGACTCAGTCAATGGGAGTCCCTTTAAATACACCACTACCAAATAAGCTAAAAGTTTGTGACAAACTTTTTAATAAATATCACGAAAATACCTTTGTTTAAATTACGTGGTCTTTTCAGAATCTCGAGATGCTTGGTATGTAAAAAAAATTAAAAGGTCCTTCAAAAATAATGGGTATCATCTATTTTTAATAATGAAGCCAGTATTCTATAGAACTATCCCGCGCTAACAAGTTGTTAAATTGTTTGATAAATGCAAGTATCATAATAAAATATTTCTAACAATATTTGAGATATTTAACTTTTACTTTGTCATAATTTTTTTGAAAACCCTGATATTAATTCAATGTAATATGGATGAGAACAAATAAACATCCTGTCAATTCTTTTTTTCCAATATTTGATTATTATTATAATATAATATTTTATCTCTCATCTCTGCTACACTCATTCTCTACTCTATTCCCTTGTCAACCGCCCAATACTCTGAACCATACATCATAGCTGGTACTTCTTGTATTTTTTAGTAATTTCTTCCATCACTATAGAAAATAACTAATGGCTTAAAGCAGAACCTTGGTGCACTCTTACTTTTAGCCTAAAACCTTTTGTTACTCTTTCTATGCTTTTTACCCTGGTACATGTGCCATAATACATATCTTCTATTTATTAATGTATCTTTCCTGAGCTCCTTTTCTCATTAATGCCCATTTTAGAACTCTCTCGGTACTCTATCATACGCCTTCTCCAAATTTATAAATATCATACACATTTTTTTCTTCTTTTCCCTAAACTTTTCTATTAGTTGTCTCACATAAAATAATGGCTCCATTGTTGTCTTACTAGGCATAAATTTAAATTTGTTTTTAGATACCGACGATCTTATTCTCTTATCTATTACCTTTTCCCAAATTTTTATACTATGACTCATAAGCTTTATGCTTCGTTATTTTGCACACTCCTATAAGTCTCCTTTTTCTTTAAATATCGACACCACAATACTATTCCTACATTCATTTGAGATTTTCCCTTCTAATAAGATTTTATTTAAAAGATTCTTTAACCACCTTATGCCAACACAGCCTAATATTTTCATATTTCTACTGGTATTTTATCTGGTCCTACTGCTTTATTCTTTTTCATTGATGCCACTAATTAAATCTACCAGTCCCTCGTTCTACGAGATATACTCTAATGTCTCTATTGGATATTCCTCACTCAGTAATTTTTCAAAATACTCTTTCCACCTTTTTTCACATCATCATCACTCGATAGTATCCTATTATCAACACATTTTATACACTTTACATAGTAATAATCTCATACCTTTTTTTTCTTACTTTTGTGAGTCTATAGACTTCTTTCTCACCTTCCTTTGTTCCTAGCCTATCAAACAACTCATACCTCTTAAAATTCGTCTTATTTACTGCATACTTGGCTTCTTTGCACAAACGTTTATACCCCATCCAATCTTCTCTCTTTTTGCTCTTCTGCCTAACATTGAATTGTTTTTTCTTACTTTCTATGATTTTTTTAATGTCCTCATTCCACCATCAGGTTTCTTTGTTTCCTGGCATTGTAATCCTACTCTCGCCAACAATCTCCTTTGCAGTAGACTTTACACAACTAGCAAATCTATTCCACGCATAATTTATGTCTCTCTCGACATTCCATTCCGTCCTATCTTTTACCGTCTTTAAAAACCCTTTTTTTTATTCCCCTTTCAATTTTCACCGCGCGGATCCTCGATTTTTCTCCTTTGTTCCTTCTATTTTTGTATAATCCCTTCCCACAACACCACAACTCCATTAACATCAATCTATATTGTGAAGGGCCACTCTCGCCTGGCATAACTTACAATATTTTACTCGCTTTACACTCACTCTTTTCCACATAAAATAAACAATCTATGGTTTACTTCCACTCTTATAAATTATATAATGTTCTTCCCTCTTTCTAAAATAAGTATTAACCACAGCAAGATCATACGATACTGCGTAAACCTGATTAGTCGCTTCTTACGACTGATAGAGTGACCGTAGAAGTATTCTTATCCCCTATCTACAGGGACAAATATATTTTATACACCAATTCTCGGATTTTAAATTTAATCAAAATTATATTAATAACCTGAAAAGTTATAACTATACATTTATTTATATATTGTTGAACTAGTGACTGTATAGTATTACAAACATTTATGTTATGAAAACATTATTATAATGTAAAGAAGTTTAGATAAGTTTTTTAAATTTTCATACATTAATAATCATAACATAATGATTATTATTGTAATATACCATACAATAAAAAAAATGTTACAATATAACTTACTACAATTGAATGAACAGCGCCAATTCTAGCACAAGCCAACATAGCAATAATGATCTCTAAAATCATAGGCATATATATTGCTACTCGGTCTCCTTTAACGACTCCTTTAGATTTCATTACATTAGCGAACCTGCATACTTCTTCCAGTAATTTTTTGTACGTTATTTTACTGTAATCTTCAGGATCATTACCTTCCCTGCAATTAAAATTAACAACAATTTATATTTATATGAATTATAGAAATATATAAATTGAATATAATATAATTTTGCTGTTTTAAAAATGTTCAGTTGTAATTAAATTTAACCTTTATTTGTTTAGAACGATCATTATAAAGTAGTGGATAATTTATGATTTTTGAAATCGTTTAATTTTGACATTTTTTACTTACATCTTTCAAAATGTTTTGAAAAATTAATAAATCAAAATGAATTTTTTAAATAAATACCTTAGGCACTGCTTTCCTATCATTAAATAAATATACTTTTTTTTAATATGGCTTTTACCTGGCCATAAGCAGAGATTTAAAATATCATCTTTTATATAAAAAGTTAACTATTCCGATTTAACTTTCAAATGTTCCAAAAATAATACGAAATTTGGCATTTTTTAAATTAAAGCTAAAATTACACACTAAAAGTTATAATTTTCTCTTTACCATATTTTTAGTTGTATAATAATAATAGACTGGGTTTTAAAATAATCAAAAACATAGGCTTACAGTTTCACACTTTTTTTTTTTGATCGTCACCTTAAATAAATGCATATAAACCAAAAGACTGAAGTAATCAACAATTCCTTGGAATTTTTGAATGAACGAGTTTTGTGTTTTCTATACTATTTAATTTTATCACTAAAATGTCAAATTAAGCTGATAGGAAATATAAACCATCATTTTTAACAGCATATACTAAATAAAACTTTATGATAGAACAATTTTCTAAATGATTCAGAACTAAATATAAAGACGTGATTAATATTTAATTATAAGAAATAATTAATTTTCCCCTCTGTTGATTCCGAGACCGCAAAAGAATTCACATTACATACACATTAGTTTAGCATAAGTAATTTCTATCTAGTCAAATAACTTCATAACAACTCATTTATATTAATATTACCTAAACAATTATAAATTTATCATATAAATATATAAAAATATAACAATAGGCTCTCAGAATATTTTGTCTTGCACAGAATGAAAAAAATATGGTTTGTTTAATTATAACCTAGATTACGATCGACTTGTTACCAAGTATCTATTCTAAAGTAATTTTTTTGTTATAAATAACCCAATTTTAAGAAATATTTTGAGCAAACGTAATTTAGTAGGTTACAATGTCGAATGGCCTACTTCGACAATGAATAATAATGACGACCATGCCTTATAAGAGTTATTTATTAGATTAAAATTTAAATGAACATAAAGACTATTCAAATTATATTTTACTAATACAGTTCATAATATATTCATAAAAAAGTTGACTTATGTGCTAGATGATATTTATAGAGTATCATCAATATCTTATATAATAATTATATAAGACTCGTGTGAAAACTATAGTAAACAACAAGTTCATATAGATCTTTAACTTAATTTAAAAAAAAAATTTAGTATCGGTAGTTTTATTTCATTTATTTATTTATAGTAGAGTTTTTTCTAATTTTATTGACGATATTAATGTAAAAAAAAAATACTGAACATATCATTTTCTTTTATTATTTCATTATTATTAGTTTAAAAAAATTATAACAATATTAAATATTTTACTTAAATATTACATAAAGTATACTACAAATTTATTGATCAAAATTAGTAGGCTAATTAAATTTATTAAAACTGTATACTTTCATGACAAATGTAATACCTAATTATATTCTTAGCATATAAAAGTGTAAATTAAATTTTAGTGAAGGTCAATGCTAATTATATAAAATCTAATTGCTAAACGTTGACGATGTTATTATAAAAAACTAATCAAAATTTGAACTATATAAGATTAAATATTTATAAAAAAAATTCATATTTTCCATTTACAATTTAAAAAAGTAGGTTCAAAAGTTTATTTCCATAAAAACATTATTTATAAACTTTTTGTATAATATTAAATATTGTGCCCAATATTCAATAATGGGCAAGATTATTATACGCAATTATAATTTTTATATAACTAACTAAATCATTTATGACCTCCACATTTATACTATTAACTTTGTTGTTCATATTAATGAAAACTGATAATCTCTTTAAAACTTTAGTGTCCTTGAGACATAACTTCTAAACATATCGTGTTTAATGATTTTTTTAAAGTTATTTTTTGTTTAAAACGGTATTGTTAAATTCAACTTTAAATAATTTTCTCATAACTCTAAACATCAAATATTCAAAAATTATCAAAAAATAAGATTGCTCTTTAGTATGCAAATTATAAGTACTCTTCTGAGTTATTCTTACATAGATTTAGAACGTAATAAAACGATTTGAATTTCTCAAATATAGTTATGAGCTATGGTTAGAAAAGTATGTTTTATTAGTATCGAACGAAATATTTTATTTTTAAAGTAATCTAATTTAATTAAATTTAATTAAAAAAAAACTGATATTACAATTGAAAATAATTTCGCATATATAAAAAGATATTTTATAACGCAGCCATTCGATTTCTTTTAAAATAATAATTATGTTAAGAAAATTATTTTTTAGTTTCGTATATTTCTGGATATATGAGTTATTAATTACCTTTTTAGCATCATCCCTTATAAGTTATATCTTATAATTAATAAGGGGAACCAACTATTTTTTTAATAGCAATAAATAGTAAACTGAAGTAATTTTATAAAACTTATTTTTTTTTTATTGATAGAATATTTTTATAAATCAATATTAAGTAATGACATAATTTTATTTTCACATACAATTTCAAAAAAACATTTTAAGAATTTTTGGGGTATAAGTCTAACATAGCTCTAAAAGAATAATTTTTTAACTTATTTTAAAATAAATGAGGTTTATACTTTATTTTATTAATTTTGAATAATAAATCTAATAATTTTTACTTAAAAATTTTTTAATTGTCTTATTTATTGAAATATATTATATTTTGGAAAAAATATGTATTCCTAAATGGCTAATTTATTTTTTCACTCATCAAAATTAAACAATTTGATATTGAATTGCAAAATTACTGAAGTCAATAATCTTTGTCAATATTTTGTTATTTCAAGAAAAAAAAACTGTATAAACCGTTATTTAATTATTAATTATCTCGATAAAACTTACTCAATACCAACTAGACTTTTACTCCGTTAATGGCATAAAAGTACGCTTCTATTTTTCATTTTGTTTCAGTTAATTACTCATTAAATAGATTTTTAATTTTACTATTTATACTTAATTTTTATTTTTTGATACATTGTCTAGCTTAAGAAAAATACAAATTGTTTATAACTGCCATACGAGTATAATAAATATGCGATAGAAACAAAAATGCGCACTTTTACCAAGGTATAACTAGCTTAAAAAATAAAAAATAACATAAATTTTGGTTTTTTACCTACTCTAGTTAGTTTTTTTCAATTTATCAATCATGAAATATATTTTATGTTCTTCCCTTATACTTTATAAGGGTATCTACATTTTTTTTTTTCAAATGGTAACATATATAATTTATTAATTTGTTTAATATATGATGAAAATGATGAAAAAAAATTATGAAAACTTCTGGACCAATATTTCAAAAACTATTAACAATATTATACCTGGGCGAGAAGAGGAGTGAAGCCGAAAACTGTATTTTTAGTCACTATAATCTTAATAAATACTCAATAACTAAAATGTTCTTATTTTTGAGAAAAGAATTATATTAATCCTTTAATTCATTTCACACTAAGAAATCGAAATGGCTTAAAAATATTGTTAATTTATAATAAAATATGAATGTTACTTATTTCTTGATTTTTGTATTGACCAAAGATAGCAATTTGATTGACAAAAAAATAATTGATTTTTATTGATATTCATGTACAAGTAAAAACATATTATCATTATAGGTTAAAACTATGTATCATAATGTCCAAAACTATTGAGAATTATGAATCACACCTAACTAGGATATATACTTGTGTACCTTGATATATGTCAAAATATAGGTTACATTATATGCTACAGTATTTTTTTTATGAATAAAATTAATATTAAAGCATTTTTACACAAATATAATTATTTTTAAAATCCTATACCCTATTTGAACATCCAGCAGTGCCGTCCTATGAGAAGATTGTTTGGGGTATCATCCCCCCTTGGCAAAACTTAATCGTTCCAATCATAATTTTTTAATATAAGAGATAAGATAATATAAGAGATCTTAAAAAAAGATTGTAGAATTAAAAAAAATTAATCATTTAGCAAAAATAAAATTTATACCACCAATATTTTTAGCTTTAGGACAGCATTGACAATCAGTGTTAAATAGAATATAACTTAAAAGAATTACATAGAGTAAAAATCTTTATTATGTTTATTTTTATTAATTAATTTAAAAACTATTTAAAACATTCTTGAAATTTCATGTAATGTAAGTTGATTATTATTATTATGTGACAACGTCTTCAAATTTAAGAAAACTAATTATTTGTATACAGAACATTGATTGTGTTTTATGGATCTTAAAAGATTAAAACAGTTTTATGTATGACTGAAAATTAAAATGAAAAATATTTACCTTTCATTTCACTAGATTTCAAAATATAAAGTTTTTCAAAATTTATTTAAATTTCAAAGTTACCATGGTTCTTAACGAGAATGAAACTAAAGAGGAGAGATAGTCTGCCACCTATAGTTACTTCAATAGTCCAAACATATATTTTTTAAATATTATAGTCGACTACTATATTAAATATTATTTGATTATATTATTAAGTCAGTGGGTTATATAAACTAGTCCGCCCTTTGACTAAAAGATCTCCGCTAATCCCCGGCAGAACATAGCTAACATATATACATGTTTTTATGTAAATATTTAAATGTAAAATTATTAAAAATAAATTTAATACCTAATTAATATGGAGCTAGATCTATTACTCTTTTATATAATTAAAACTGTTTTTTTTTTTTATGAAAAAATGAACAGCTTTTAGTGATCTATTAAAAATAAAAGAAGTGACCTCTCAATGTGTTTATTTTATAGAGATAAATTAATTTAAAATAGTTTTTGACTTAACTGTTTTAAAATAAGTGATAATAAATAATAATTAGTATACCAGTAAAATGCTATTTTATCGCCCATCCCTCTACGAACATTTTTATCTAATAAATTAAAGCACACATTTGTGGTGGCGCCTTCCATCCATTTGACTTGAACGGGCCCGCTTTTCACATTAAAATTAAAAGAATAAAAATTTCGGACGTCGTATGGGTTTTCCCAGTAGAATTGATCTGCAATTTCCGACCAAAATTCGGCAGGTGACTCTATAGATTTTTTATGCATTTGTCGGTATTGTTCCATGGATTGTATGTGAGCATTTTCGGAGTGTTCATAATTCGGTAGGTAAATGTTTTTTGACATTTTAAAAAAATATTCAACGTGGTCTAAAAATAAAAAAATGATATGTTTTTGCTGGTCGCGAAAACAAATAACAAATTACAACGCGATCGATATATTGTCACAGGTAGACAGGACGGCAAGCTTCTACGACGATGCCCGAAAACACACCACTCGTCGGACACACGCCACGCCACTGACTACTTGTAAAAACGCTCGGCACGCTATTTGGCAAGCGCAAGATCGCAATACTGAACAAGGGAACGCCGTGTCAATATTGCGAATTTATAGTACTATTAGCGCTATCATAAAACATCTATAGAAATTTTATATGTTTTATGTTTTACTTATAAGTACTAATAACGGGGCTATATTTTAAAGCTAACTTTTAGTAAAATCTTGACTGCAGTTGATGATTTAATAAAAATATATATATATCATATTTTTGTAATAGTAATCTAAATAGGTGGTTAAAATTACAAATGGTACATGCAAAAATGTTACACTTAAAAAGTGTTCATGTTTTTCTCAGTCGATTAAAAAATACAAGTCAACATAATTTTTTTACGAGTCAATCGTTTACTAAAAAAAAATGTCAATTGAAAAAATACAAGAATTTTGTATAAACTCAAATGTTTGTCCGAAAAAAATTTCCTACAAAAATGTTTACACGCTCTTCTATTATAACTAAAAATAATAGTTTTAAATTTTATCTTACGCTACTCTAATTTTTAGTTTGAACTAATATTTTATAAAGCATTTAAATTTGCATATTCGAAATCATAAATAAACAAATTAGTGAAAAACCGGAACATTGGACATCGAAAAACAAACCATTTGTGTAGGTTAACCGTCTAATAAACCGCTCAAGTTCCTTACATTTCACAAAAACACAAAAAATATTTAAATTACTTAAATAAATTATTCAATCGTTTTTATTCAAAATACCTTAACATTTTACTTGCATTTTTAATAGAAATAATTTAACGGTTAATTTTGACCTCGTAATTATTACCAATTTGCACTCCTATAAACACAAGAAAAAGTGATAAAGAAAATTATTGTCAGTTTAAAGTTGACATACTTCTTTTGTTTTTTAAGAAATTTTCTTTTTTAATTGAACAAAATAGTTACAATAGTGTAATTATAAAAAAGTAGTGGACAACAGCTAAAAATTATGTAATAAACATAATTTTATGATATGAACCTGAAATGGTATTAGTACTCTTTGTTTTTTTTTTGTGTGTTGCTACATTTTTTCTGTTCTTAATGGATCCATTTTGTTAAATGAAGCTCCTAAAAATTAAATTGTGTCTTGTTAAAGACATTACCCTAAAAAAATTTCTTTTTTCTATGGAAACCTGGTTTTTTCCATTTTACAAAATTTTACCTAAAAGTCAAATTTGATAATGTTCCAAAATCTAATTTCTTTAAATCTACATTAAATTAGAACTATTACAATATGATTTAAGGTGAAAAAATAAAAACTATCTAAAATCTTGAATTTTAGGAATTATCGGACATTAAAGTTAACAATTAGAGTGTTCAGTAAGTAAGGAACAGATTTATATTTTTTTTATTCATTGTTTGTAACAATTGACCTGTTTTCTTACTTACTGAACATACTATATAAACTTATTCAAATTTTTAGATATAGAGACTAATTTAGAAGATTTTTCTATACCTAACCTGTTTTTTAATTTTGTGTATATTATACCATAAGAATATGTGTTCAATGCCTACAACTAAAACACTTAATGTAAACTGTTGTTATAGTATCGCCATTATTGGATTATACCATGAATCAGCTTGCATTACTATATGATTATTTTTTATTTGAATAAATCGAGTTTAAAACTTGTTTAAAATATATAAAACAACATGTTTAAAACATTTAAATCCGTTTTAAATCGATTACAGCCAATTTGTTTATTAAAACAAAAAAGACATATTTTTTTAACTAGTTGACTAAAATTTATTACAGTTGTAAAATCAAAAAATATCAACATTGCTGTTTTAAAATAACTGTAATTATTTATGACATTTCCCTTAGTTATGAGGATTAAGGGAAAAAGTTTAAATTTATGGTGTCGACAGGTTCAACTATCTATGCTTTATGATCTTTTTATTAATGTGTCGTTGAGCAAAATCGGTCTAGTAGGAGTAAAGTAATCGTGTATACAATTTTAGTTGACAAAAAAAAAAAACACGGCAGAGTAAAACTATTAATATTTGAGATACGTATCGAAACAAAAATTATGATAACTTAAATGAATTGAAGATCTTAGTAATAAATTATTACTGAAATGTAACAAAAAACTGTTTAACACTATACTCCCTTAATTAATAGCATGCTTAATTTTTGGTTCATTTTTTTATTAAAATTAATTCATTAGAAATTTTTTTATGAGACAAACTATTTCACAATTCATAAAACTGTCGATAATTAATATCATACGATGTTTTTTAGCAATTAAGATTAATTTTTCGTTGCATAACTTAATTATAATATTTTTAATGATGTTAAAACAGCTTTAAAGGTGACATTTATTTAGTAAAATTTAACCTATACATTTCAGTTTAATAATTATTTAGCAGTATTAAATATTGTTAAATAAGTGTAAATTTTAAATGTATTTTTAATTATATTTATTTCTGTGTAACTTTTGAGTTTTCATATGGTACTAATAAATTTTAATAATTTAATACGGGCCTTTTAGACAATTATGTAAATGACCTTGACATTGTAAATGTTATACAATTCGATTATTATGGTGCTGCATCTAATCAGTTTAGCTACTAACAACTACATGGATTATATTTAAATAGGCACTTAAAAAACTATCATTTTATTAAATATATATGTCAATTCTTGGTGAAATATTAACTTATATTGAATTGGTGTTTAATTTATATATTTTTTTATCAACAATTTGTTTATTTTAAAAATAAATCTCCATTTCGAAAAACAATATCCTTAATTAAACAAGTATAATAGATTAAGATTTTGTTTCTATTGATTTAAACTAAAAAATTTTTAATCAAATGCATTATTATTCAGTCAGAAATAATATGTTTGTATATTATATTAATTAAAATATTAAGTTTTCCAGTGTATTATTTCAGAATGTTTTTTTAGAATGATAATATTGTATTGTTTATTACTAAATAACTAATTTGGTTCAAGTTCAATGTGAAAATATAACTTGAAATTTGATGATACGATGTTATCATTATTTGATTTTTATAAATCAGTTATTTAATAAGTCCAGAAAAGAGACAATTAAATTATGTTTTGTAATGTATGCTATAAAAGAGGTATTTTTTAAAATTGTTTGAAAATGTATGTTATTTAACATACATTAAAACCTTGTAGGTAATAATTAGTAATAATAATTATTAAAAAATTCGTTATTGATCAATTTTTAAATATTTAGGGATATCTATGGGAAAGCAGGAAATTTAACTAGTTAATGTACAAGTATTAGTGCTGGCACGAGACGTAATGTATAAACCACAATGTCAAGTAAAACACAGGAAAAGTGCATACATATTGTAACCTTGTAAACAAGGAACATGACCTAATCAACAAATGTAGTACAGAATTAAATTTTTGTATCATTTACATTAATGAGCATCAAAGAATTCAAAATAAACTTTTTAAAAAAATTATCTTTTTAAATGTTTACTTATTATGTAAAAAAACGAATAACACATAATTAAATATAACATAAAAATCTAGAAATCTTAGATTTTATTTATTAATATATATGTGTATATATATAAGCTGTACAAAATAAGTGCAAAAATAGTATTAGCTAAAACAATAACACTACACGAATATTTGATAAAATAATTAGCCACCCATTTATGACACTTTTAAGTGATTACTTTGTATTTTTTCATTTCACTGTAATTATTTTAAATTTTTTGCATTTAAACAAGAATTATGATATGAATTATGTTATACTAAACTAATTATTCCCATCAGAAGCATGCATACATTGAAAAAAGTCCTTTAGTAAAATAAGTTTAATAAAAAAATACATCATGGTAAAATTAATACCTTCTCAGCTTCGCATCGAAGCTAAAATTTTTGTTAAATATATCAAAATATTTTGTTGAAAATCAAAAATTGTTCTCTTAATAAAAATTCCAGCACAGTGGGGACGTGGCATAGTTGGATCCAGCATAGATTTAATCTGACACTGATTAAAATCACTATCATAAGAAACGATTCGATGCAAATTTGTAGATGTTTAATTCTAAGAAATTGGTTGATAATTACAAAAGCAACATTAACTTCTATTTCTTTAATTATATCCAGATTAGTAATTTTTTTACTTATATATTATATAATTTTTATAATTAATTGTTTTCAAATTATTGATTTTTAATATATTAAAAGTAATAATTTTTAACCTGCTTTTTTTGTCTTTTAAATAATAAGTTTAATTTCTTATGTCTTATGAACTTTATTCTATGTCAATTAAATTACATAATATTCATGAAAGTCAATATATTTTCCTAATAAGATATTTTAAAATAAAATACAAAACCTAGAATTTTAATAGAATAATAGCATATTTTTGAATACGGTAGCCATTTGCGCATAGAAGATAGGTCGTCGGGACAAATTTTTTTTTTCATTTTATAGTACATAAAATAAACTTTAATTTGATATATGTTTAAAGGACGCAGTATTTCCGAAACATTTTCAAAAATTAAGTTAAAAATGTTAGTTTTTGTAAAAAAGTTAAATCTCCTTTGTGAGCAGAATAAGTGTTAGATTTTCAAAAAAAATGATATCAGACGAAAGGAAATTACCTAAGGTTTCAATATAAAAAAACGGTAGCACAGTGGGCTCGAGGCATAGATGGGACAAGTATAGATGATATCTGACAGTGATTAAAATGACCATCATAAGAAACGCTTCAATGCAAATCTGTAGATAGTGATTCATTTAGAGAAATTGCTGGATTGTTCCAAAAGCAACATGAACTCTTATTTCTTTAATTATATCCTGATTAGTAGTTCTTTGATTTTAAAATATAATATATGAATAAATACTAATTATACTTTTTAAATTTAGTATGAAATTGTGAGGCCAGCTATGATGTATGGTTCATAGTGTTGGGCGGTTGATAAGAAAGTAGAGCAGAGAATAAGTGTAGCAGAGATGAGAATGCTTAGTTGGATGAGTGGAGTGAATAGAGAAGATAGGATAAGGAACGAGCAT